CGACCTCTAAGCCGCCAGGGCTTGTCCAACGGATTCGTGGGAGATTGAAGTCCCCACCAATTATCAGGCTTATGTCACTAGAATAAAAAGTTTTGACTAAGTCCTGATTTTTTTTTCTATGCCGCCGGATGCAATAGGAAGCAACATCTATTGAAGTTTCCGTTCATATCCTGTCCAAGCATGATTAGATATGAAGAGAGAGTGAAGAGTGAAAAGACGCTTTGTTTAATCATTCCAAGCCCCATTCATTGATCAGCCGTGCACATGAGTGTACCAGTAAAAAATGCAATTGGTATATTTTAAGTAGCTGTTGTGAACTATTGCTTGTGAACTGTCGCTTACTTTTTTCTTGATATAAATATTTCAATAGTAAATATATAAACTATATCTCCTTCTCTTTTATAAAATAGTTTATTAAAAAACTATTAGATAAGTAATTTTATCTCTTTTTATAAAATATATATCTCTATATCTCGTAAATATATAAAATATATCTCCTGTTATTTCAAGTGCCATTAACACAATTTTTCGGGAGCGCAGCCGTGCACCACCAATTTTGTGCACCAATAAGCCCTGAATCGAACGCCTTGGATCCCTCCGGAACTACACCAATCAGCCGTGCACCACTCGTCTTTGTCCTCTTCCGGCCATAGTTCTGTTCCAAAATTTGCCGTGGGTCGTGGTTCGACCCACGGCCTATGGATACGGACGGCTTGAAGTGTTGAAGGCTATGTTCCGGAAGGCAGCAATCATGATGGTCCATTACATCCAGAGCAGTGGTGGTCTTCGGCAGACGACCCCAATTTTTCTATGCCAAGAACTTTTAGAGTGTGGATTTTTCATTTCTTAAATGTCAAAACAGTCCAAGTTACCCCATCAATGGTCCAAGTTACTTCGTTTTAGGTTTAGGGCGCCGTGGCACATTTTCCAATCGGTTTCTTCCCAGGAAATTTCTGCTCGTGGTTAGTCAACATCTGGTGTGGAAGAAAAATTTTATTTGATGTTCCATATCATAATAGTTTCGAGGTCAAATACTCAAATGATAATGAAACGGTCTTGCCCTATCCTTTATGCATTAGAGTCGTGTGATTAAAAACACATGTATCGGCAATTTATTGAACCATTCCGAAGCAAATGTATGATATTTGAAGAAATTTACAGAATAAATACTCATATTTGAATAAAAATATTCAAGTAATAAGAGAAAAATTAGTAAAATAAACTTTATTTGCTGAATAACTAGTCAATTTAGTCCTAATGTTGTTTATCCAAAAATAGTTTTTTGGAACGACACAGCTTCAAAGAAAATTCATGCTGTACTGGTAGACTAAAATAAAGAATTCCGATTCATCTCTCTCTCTCTCATTATAATTTTCAGTAGTTGTCTTGATGTGATTTTGTTAAATTTTACATTCGCTCTACTGGTGTAGAGAAAAAATTTTCCCAATACCATAATTATACCAATATATTCGTTTCGAGTTCTTGAATCGATAAAATTTGAAGTTAGATAAAGTTGTATCAATATCAATAAATTTACTGTCACACACTGCCACAAAGAACCTTAAAATTATAACAGTGTCTGAGTGTTGGAATATTTTACAGCGCCATAAACCTGGCATAAGCCACTTCTAGCACTTACAATGCACGTGCAGCGATCGTTGTCGGGCAAAAATCTCGTGTTGAGATATCAAAATTGATAATTTAAATTTGGAAATGAGCTGGAGAAACATTAGTTTACGTAAAAAGTATTCATTGATTAGAAATTAGGTGTTCAAGGTTTAATCATTAGAGGTGGAATCAATGACTAACTCTATTAGTATTATTGTCTATGGTAAACTTGGCTGCTGGGACGTGATTTACAACGACCGTACGACGTCAGTTTTTCACTGTTCCAATCCTAGTGAAGTAATGAAATTATTCCACATAGTTTATATATTAAGCTTTGTACATTTCCAGTATCTAGCATTAATCAGTGTTCCGATTTTTAAGCCTTTGTTTACACAGCATAATGCTCAATGATTAATCTTTTTTTCCGTTGACGTTCACAAGTGTAATTTGTACAGATTTCGTGTTCTTATTGTGTTATGTAATTATCCAATATTTTGTTGTTTGAACAATTTTGTGTGCGCGCACACGTTCGGCTGATGAATTGCAATCTCTGGCTACATTGAACTGCATTTTGTGACGTCATATTGTGACGTTTAGGCCGGCCAATGACCTGACCTGATTATTGCATGTAGGCGGAGCGTCGGCAGAATACGTCGTTGACTGGCAACACTGCTGCTACTCGCCGGTACGTCTGGCAGTGTCGGGCACGGCGTGTTGTGGACTGGTCTTTCACGACGAAGCGTTGCACGATTAACCTACACGCGTGCGTGAACCTTTATTAATTCGCGTTTTGGTTATAAAGCTAATCAGTGTAATAATTACCGGCCGGAAGAAAAATTAAGAGACTGGATCCTGTACAATTTGGTGAAAAGTTTGGCGATTAACTTTTTAAATCGAATAATGTAACGAGTGCATTATCCGGTCATAAAAAACTGTTTCTTGCCTGCTCTTTAGTCTTTATAAACTATTTGTTTCGCTCAACACGCTTTGTTTACAATCGTGTCTGAGAACTTTAATAATGTATCATGATAAATTTGCGTGAATTACAGTGCCCTCGGGATTGAGAAGACATGATAAGAATAATGGAAATTTATTTGGTATTATTGCAGATTAACTACATCCAAAAAAAAGGGTGTAAAAAAAACACCCTTTTTTTGGATGTAGTTAATCTGCAATAATACCATTTATTTTGCACTTGAGACAGTTTGTGGTGGGATGCTTCAGGATTATCTGGGCGATCAAATTCTCAATTACCTATGCCGCTATGCGTAAAGTTTCTTGAGGGCGGCTAAAGGAATTTGGCGTATATAAATGTTTAGAATTTATCTTCTAAAAATAAAAAAAGCTCTTCAGCTGTCCACGGAGACAGAATTAATTTATGAGCTAGTGCTACTACTAGTAGCACTAGCTCATAAATTCTAGCACTAGTAGTACTAGTGCTAATCCCGTTTCACAATATTGGCTGGCCGCTTGAGTCAGTGGACTGCTGCCGGAGTAGTTTTCCCACAATACTTGCCCAAGCCTAACTCCTAAGTAGTGACTTATTACCGTCGCGCGATCTGGCGTAATCTAAATTGATATAAATTTAATGTCTTTTTGCTCAAATGTATGCGATCTGTGAACTTGTCTGTCGCAAATGACGGATTATTGCTCCAGCCATGTTCTGCTTGCTTTATGATAAACTTTTATGTCCTGATTGAAAAGGCGGCCCTATATTATATAATTGTGAACCCGTTCATCCTCCTGTGAATCGCCGCTTCTTTCTAGCTTAACGTTAATATCGAGTTTCTGTGAAGTGTGAACTTTAGTCTTAGGCGTGAATTTACAAATTACGATCATTTTTAAATTTTAAGATTATTACAAATTGACGATCATTAATTCATAATAGATTTTCGATCGTAGAAACAGTTCCAATGTGATCTTTCAGATTATCAAAGAACCCTCACGCCTCACCTCGCTCTTCATTCATGGATTCAACTGAACCGTGGAACCCATGACTGTATTGGAGCTTGAAATCGTGAAACCTATAACGTTTAAAAATTTCCTAAAATCTTGTGACTTTAAACTATTTTAGAACAACCGTGAAAGAACTTGCAATATCTTCGATAATTTTATATTACACATTACTATTAGATTCCACATTGCATCCGATGATCCGAAACCGTATCGGGATGCGTCTTGAGGCTGACGCCGTCGCGCAGCAAGCCGTGCTGTAAGAGCATTTCTCTGTCACCGGCGGCGGCGGCCGCGGCGCGATCATAGGATTAGAATAGTTGGTGTGAAATCCGTTTCTAAAGATGGGCCATTTTGTGAAGTAAACTGCAAGCATAAAACCACCGTTGCATGGCTATAGCTTACTTCGGATTTTGTCAAATTGTGATATAATAATTTGAATCGCCTCAATTGCCCTCAAACCTCAGTGTAACTCGTAAGGGAGCACATTTTGAAGTGTATTCAAGTTATTTTTTATACTCGTTCATTTTTTTAAATTTATGTTCTATGTTCTAATTTAGTGATAGTAGGCTTCGAATGTAAGATCGGGGAGGAGTCGTGAATGATGATTTACAGTGCGCTTTCACCATTGCCATGCTTGTGCGCTTTCGTTGCTACTTAATCTTCTCTAGCATCCAGAACAGGTTAAAAGTTAGGCAAACCGCAAACGGAACGAATGCTACATTACTAATGAAATTAAAAAGACAATCCAAATTATTTCTGTTAACACATCGAACATAAAACGGTTGAATTTTATCAAGGAAATCGAATATATTCAATGTATTTTTTGTTGCCTAAAGGAATTGTATTTGCTTTAGGTTAGGTCTTGAAACTAATGTTAGGGAGTCATTTTTCAGTCCTATTCATAGCACATTTCGCGCTCATGCTCTGCAACGCTACAATTGCATGCACGTTATCGGTGGAACTAATGCTCTCTATATGCACGGGTTGGTATCACTGTTATTCACGTTTAAATTCGTTGTAGTCGGGACTCGGGATACATACCGACTGTAATCTCACTAACGCCATGAGCTATGAATAAGAATTTTTAACCATATCGTCATTCTGCTAGTCTTATCGCAGGTGCTTAGCTGTTGCTTCGTCGTCTCGGAGAATATATTTACTTGTCTCGTGGCGATTAATTATTTAAATTTGCTCGCTTAATTAGTTCTGGCTGAAAATGAAGTCTCCCAATTTTTATTGAATTTTCTGAGCTCGCATACTATGCTATCGATAGAGCAATGTCACCTGTATGAACGTTAAATACAGTGAATTCGTTTCCATTATTCATCTAAATATTGAGAGAGAATCCAACGAGTTACTTACTTTATATTAAAACTGCTGCTATATTTCTACTAATCAAGGTTTATACTGATCTATACAAATTTTTATCCTTCCAGACACATAGGGAAATTCACGGCAATTTCTCGACATAGTGGATTTGTTTCCTTCGCATGAGAAAACTCAAGTTTTTCGTGATATATTGCGCAATAAATATTGTAGCAATCTTGACGTGACTGGCAATTTCTCAAGCCAAGTTAATGAATTCTGGTGCAACTTTTTGTGGCGATGATTACTTTGTGCAGGTGAAAAGAAACAATTGCTCAAGATTCTTCTTTTATCCTCGAAAATTTCACTTTAACTACTAGCCTTTTAACATATAGCCCTTATTTTAAGACGTTATTTTTTCAGAAACAATTTAATATCTTTGAGGAGCAAGCACCTCGAATTGATCAAGAAATATAGGCATTTAGATGCTGAAATCATCGCTATCTGAACACGTCATTTTGTAGGACGAACTTGAAAAATTCAGACCATTTGCACAATGTACTTCCTCCTATGCGCTCTTTGCCTGACTTCACTGATTATACCGGCTGCTTCTGTCGAAAATCTGACCTTGAATTCCAATCCTAAGCCTGTCCTCCCCCCAGACAAAACTCGAAGCGACGACAAGTATTTCTTGTCCCCAAAAGTTGCTGATAAAGAAATTCGAAATACAGAAACCATCGGTGAAGATGATAGCATTGTTTCCATAAGCAAGGCTGACTACAAAATGACTTCTACAAGAAAATTAGATGACAAGTTTTCTTCATTGTACAACAAATTTGAGGACGGTTTGAGTAACCCGGACGACGAGAATGAAGTGATCCTACGCTGGGCAGGAAGCTCAGCAATCAATAGCCTTGGCGCCGGGGCCTCTCCTGTGGCGCCAGTTCCTTCATTCCTGCCAGCGAGTCCCCGCAGACCAACTGCAGCTGAACAAATTCAACGACTTTCATCTGCGCTGCGCCAACCAAGTGAAGATGGTGCATTAATTGCGACGGTATCACTCCAACCATCATTTGACAACAAACCATTAATTAAGACTGCATCACGCCAACCATCATTTGACCACAAACCATTAATTAAGACTGTATCGCGCCAACTATCATTGAACAACGACCCACATGCAGCTTCTCTGCCTCAATCGTCTGAACACAAAGAACCAACATCTACTAATGAATCAACTTTACGGGATGCTGCTGGATCTGTGGAAATTTCCCGCAGCGACACAGAAGGTGCAAAAGAAGTCTTACGCCGCGTACGCAGAAGTACAAAGGATGTTCCTGGTGTAGAAGCTGGCGTCGCCGACGGTCCTTTGATGCGAGTTTTACCTCGCAGTATCATGGAAAACTTTGCAGACGATTTTGATAAGAGCCTTGCCGATGATTATTTCAATCAAGAACCTCATTTCTATGACATGTACTATGACGATATCAACAGTGATATCTCTACTGGGAACGCAGTTGATTCGACTCGTGCAAGGAACCTTGACCCTGATACTACAAAGGATGGCAGTGCTGACACACTGAACCGTATTCGCGATACCGATACTTTAGCTGTTGATCGTGATTTAGATCGAAATATTCTCGATGTATTAGACTCTTCTGAAAATAGGGAGGATAAACCTCTGAGGAAACGTCCGAAATTTGAAGGCAGGGACAACGCGGAGCTGGATTTGAACTCAGTCGACGACACTCTGGAGATGCGGCTGTTGGGGCCGGATTTCAAGTCTGAGCTCGGATTTGTCTTGGAGAAACTCACCAATGGTTCCCAGCAACGCAACAGGCGCCATCAAATTTTCAGGGTTAGTGCTTTCAGTTTATTATGGCTAATTGTAACATCATTCAACATTTCAAATTTAATTTGCTCTCAGTTATTGTTAGTCAGTTGTTGCGCAATCGCACGCGAGTTAGTCGGCAGTCGTTTACAATATGATTGAATTCCTTTCATATTTTCCTCAGATTGTCCTTAGAGTATCCGAATTTTATAAGGATTTTTCAGAGTCTTAAATAGCCTAAAATAGTATATATATTTGCTTGCATATCAAACAGTAGTATTTTGTATAAGAACCCTCCGTTTGCTGATTTTTTTTATCATTTTGACTCAGTTGCAACTGTTCATTGTGTTTTTCTTGATTATTAAACGGTCCACCATACTTATAGACGGCAAAACGACGTAAGTATTATCGGCGTTGTTGCTAAGTAACTGCACGCAGCAACCAGCATTTTCATTACCATTCATGACGACACTTCATTTTTCGATTCACATCTATATACTCTTTTAACCACTTAGCTGACAGAATGATCTAAAAATTCTGGTGGTAATTCTTTTGATGGGTTCGAGGATGATTTTGCTTTTGTATGCTGCTGATGGATCTTGACGAAGCCGTGTCATATTACTCAATGAAGCAGTACATACAATATGGGGCTACAGCCTCCTGAGTGAGAGTGAACGCATGTGCTATGTGCCGAGCAGCATCTCACGAGCCGAACACACTACAGGCAAATTTAGTCCGATATTCTTATAACACGTGCCTGCATGATCGCTGATAATGCATTTAATATTCACAACTGGCCTAGTGTGATGTAATAAAATACGAGTACGTGTCCGCCGACCGGTGCTGCCAACCAAGCATTTAATATCATGCATGCCCTCTGATAATCCTGCTATGATGTAAAATTATGGACATCATTACGAGCTCTCATATCTGTGTCTTGCGCACGGCGTTGGCTGTTAAGGCCTTGTTGTAGGCCTTGTTGCTGTGGAGGCTCTCGTTCTCTAAATCATGCACTTCAATGCATGTACTATCATCGCATGAATACAGTTCTTGAGGTCCGTTATCAGCCATTTATGTGATCCGCAGGCATCTGCTGTTTATTTGTCCACGGGCATCAGACGTTTATATGGTCCACGGCTGTTGGGCATTTAGAAGGTTTACGAACATTCACCATTTACATGGTCCACCCAGTCCACCCATGGTATTAGCCATTTACAAGGTCTACGGGCATCGGCCATTCAAACGGTCTCCGTTTATATGACCCGCTTATATTAAACATATAACTAATATGGAGTTAGGACATCATTAGGGCAATGTTCTGGCATGATTTGAGTGCGCTCTTATTCTTTTTCGATACATCTGGTAAAGGTAATCTCGGTACACGATTCTGAAACTAACAATAATATATTGTATTTTAATTTCTGACATACATATACTAGCTTTTCGCGTATAATATATTGCTAGATGAATGTGCATATGAGATACGAGCATAATGTTGCGCGTATAAACATTTAATTTTATACTGACATATGCATGGCGTTGAATAATATAGCGAAAGGCATGACCTTTGCACAAAAAAACTCGGATACAATGTACAAAGAACAGTTGTTATAAATATTAAATACTGACGAATAAACCACTCTCTGTTGTAAATTCTTGATCGTCCAAAGCGTTGCAAATTCTGGCTCGTGATCCAACAAACAAATGCTGTGCTCTACGCGCCTCGCCAAAACTGACATGTGTATGCCCTTGCCACTAGAATGTCCATTCATTTCTACGGATCAAATTCGCGCTGAGGCTTGCGCAAGAGCTCTCTTGCATTGATATTTATGGTGCAAGCCATAGTCGTACGAAAATAATTTTAGCGCACGACATGCCAGTGGTAAAATGTGTATCGATGCATCTTTTTCGCTGATATTTCTATGGGAAACGTTTAAACGTTTTTTCCCGTCTGTATTTTTCTGTTAGAAGTTTTTTTTTATCAAGTTCAGTTCAAGAAATTTTACACGCATCTGTTTTCTTGTTAGGGGAAAGACAAATAAGTCATCTCATGTTGATTTTTTCACTAAAGTTATTTAATAGATTAAATACCGCCGATTTCGTTTCCATCGTATTTTATTGAATAAAGTTTGTCGCTCATGCGTAGTGGGGTTCGACAACTTTCTCCTTCGCAAGAATTGACTGTCACATGTGTGACTACACCCTACATACAAGATTCAGACAGGTTATCTGCGGCCAATAATCTATCGTTTATAATTCGTCTCTGGCGCTGTTGTTTAGATGTAGCAGAGACACGCTTCAGCAAGATTGCATTTTTCATGGAGTCAAACGCCGGGTATCGAACTTTGACGAGAATTCCGATTTTATATGAAAACCAATTATTCATTTATGTTGCTAATGTCTCTAGCTTTTTTGTCTCTTTAATTTTTTCTTCTTATTTTATTCAGATTTTGAAGGTTTTAACAGTTACGTAACGTATTATATGTAAGTAGCATCCATTGAAGGGCCTAAAAATTATTATCTTAGCTGTTTTCGGGTTAACGAAGCAATTTTAGCTGGCATATACAAAAAAATTGTACATAGTTGTGGTTTCTTCATGCTATTTCACGGCAACAACGACTTAGTTGGAACAAATTAGCGAAAGCCACCAACTGGTCGTGAGGACGCTTATGGCACAATGGTGCCTTCGAGCAGCACGCGAAACCCGTAAGATTAACTAACATTAAACTTCTTATTATTGTAAGCTAGTGAGCAGCTCATACGGCGCATTTCACGACGCTACCCTCATTCTACTATGTGTTATTTCATTTTTAGCGCATTTTCTCATTTATGGAAAAAAAGGCACCATTATGCTCGCCATGTCCGTCTGTCTGTCTGTCCGTCCGTCCGTTTGTTACCTCAAGTTTTCGTCGACGAGAAAATGCGCTCTCTGTCACTCACTGTAGTGAGTACTGAATTATATTTTTCTTAGTTGCACGCATATGCGTTCTATAGTTTTCTAGATTTGGCGAAATCGATAGAGAGCTTGGTTCGGTTCTATTTGCGTACGGAAAATGTTCAAATGTTCTCTAGTTCTTCGTTATTGTTGTATGCACCTGACACTGTTATCGTTATGCATTTTCAAATTTGTCTTGCTATCAGAAAAATGTACATCAATGACGGTTGATGTAATACCGAATTTATTGTCGTTACATCAATGCTGCTTAACAATGCAGATAAAGTCATGTAAACAGCCGATCACGAGCAAACGTAAATTCAGTCATTAACTGCAATAATTAATGAGTTAACGCGACCTAGCGTAATAATGATACAAGCGGAGTATCATCTATACACAATTGAAGGACGAAATCACTCAATACGATCACCCGGTCTATGGAGACTAGAGGCCCTATGTAGATCTCTACATAGGGCCTGCCTCTGTACTACTATGCTTCAAGTAATTTAATCTTTTTGCTACCCGGATTCATTTCACATAATACTTAGGAATAACGCTGTAAACGAGTATAATAGTTTCAAAAGCAAAGTAAAAAGTTCAGACCGCGACGCAGTCAAGTACCTAGTGCGTATAGCATGTGATGACTCATCTTGTAGCATCTCATGGCCATCACTGTGAAGTTTGATACAGCCTCAACATCATCACAATCAAGCATTTCTTCCCTCCACGATTGGGGTCAGTTTAAATTTGCTTTCACTTTTCTACACGTTCATCCGTCACTGAATTTTTTATTATGAGAGTCTGCACAAGATATGGGACACTATATAGCGTGACGATGTTATGCAACTCGTGTGTAATGTACTTGTCTCCTTGTTTGTTGACTTGTCTAACTTGTTTGTGATATTGAAGACGGACAAGATGATCGCAGACGGTGCTGCTCCTCCATGCATGATATGTTTGTTGTGTGTTAGCTTCTTGCCCGTACACGTATGACACGGTGGATATTAAACTTGTTATAACTGTATGTATTCATGACAGTTTTATCTGCGTAGTGGTTGACGCGCGACAGGCTTGGTTTGAAATTTAAGCTATGCTCATAACATTAGCTTTTTTATAATGATTCCTGCAGAAAGTTTTCAGCACCTTTAGATGGGGTATTTTATATTAACAAGTGGCTGGAGTTGGTACGGAATTGGAATTGAACGGAATCCTATGAAACGATCATGTTTGTGTATTATTTTTACGTAGTGTTCCATCTAGTTACTTTTTTTGCTCGTAAGTTGCATGTGATAGGTGACAGAAATTCCGTCTATGTAGCGATATATACTAATCAAAACTTTATCACATTTCACGGAATATACAATTTATTTAATTTTGTTTTCTTATCGGGAGAAGTTAAAAGTTACTGGGCAGATGTCACATTACCTTAGGCTTAGTGTTACTTGAATGCACGAAAATAACACAACCTTAAGCTAGTAGTGTAAAGATTTATTACCTTAATCTTCTTAGATCAAGAATGCTTCCATTAAACCAAGCTTGACACACGCTATGTTCTAATCTATGTGACCGTGCATATGCGCAAATTGTATGTTACTAAAGAACGTTTTTTTAATAGTCCACTTGAAGCTAACCTGTCCAATTTCAAACACATGAACATTGCCATATGGAATTGCCTTGTGAGAAACTCTTCTGTATACTTATTCTTCTGTATACTTATGCTTATATCTTTGCTCACGATGGGAAATTTCACGAGTCTAGTCATATTTGTCAAGGAATTACATTTATTATTTAAAAATGTATTGTTTGAAGCTGTAGTGAGACGATGAACTTTTTGCAATAAACTAACAATGTTAGCTCTTTCTAATTTTTCTTTGAAATACGTCGCTCTAATACAAGGTCAGATTTCGGTTATTGATAGAAATAACATTGCTACAAAACTCGACTCAACACTGCATGGGCTGACCTTATTTGTAAACTACTCCGTTGCATCAAGTTAACTGAACAGTAATGTTCAGTTAACATTTGCTTAACAAAAATTTTTCTCATTATCGATTGAGTTTCAAATGCTAGGATAGTTGATGCAGCAAATATT